GGCGGGCACTTCTGCAGCACAAGGCTCGTGAGGTGGGGTGACACGAGGATGTATTTGTGGTGCTGAGATTTTTGTTTAAATTTCCTTCCTTTTTTCCTTTTTGTTTCTAACCAAAAACACTTTTCTGATTCTTCTTCTCCCATTCCCCCCCCCCACCTGCCCCCTTTTTTCCTCCTTCTGTCCCCTCATCCTTTCTGGGCTTTTTTTTTTCACCCCCTCTTCACTCACGGAAACCTTTTTTAGACCACCAAGTTTTTATTTATGTCAATAACTGCAGGCCAGCACCCTGCGGAGGGCGACCGGCAATGACCTCCGTTCACCTCCCCCCTCACCATTCTCCGGCCTCACCTCCCCCACGAAAACCACTCACCCTGCCGTCGCCGCCATGTGGCCTGTCCATCAAGCCAGGTAAGCTGCGTGTGCAGGCCCTTGTCTGCGGTGGGTGTGTGGCTTGGCTGGGGACAGTGGCACGGACCAGCAGCCTCACAGGACGAGCTGAGCAGTGTACAGCTGAGGAGGTGCAGGGCATCAAGGATGAGCCCCCTTCTCTGTTCCATCTGCTAGAGGGTCAGAGGCTATTTAGTCTCCGCAGACCTGGTTTTTCAGTTTTGCCTGTATTTTTCATCCCTCTGCTGCATCTGTGACCTTTGATGACCTGGTGTGCTGGGGACTGACCTATCCTGTGGCCTCTCGCCAGCCCCATGACAGAAGGTCACAGTAGGAAGAAGAGGCAGGGCTTCCAGGAAGACCCCTAGTGAGCTCAGAGTCCTACGAGTCCTTTGGGGCCATCTTCTGCCTGCCGGTGTCAGGTTGTGATCTCCCAATGACGCACCCCAGGCATCTGGCTCTGGGGAGGGCTCTGTCTCTCTAGCCCTGCAGAGCACTCCACCTGGGGCTGCTTGGGAGGTTTGGCTCTGTGGGAGCCACAAGACCACCTTCAGGGCCCTTCAGGGTCCCCCATACACACTCTTCCTGAAGGCTTGGATCCTTTCCTCACCACTGAGTCACTGTTATAGAGTGGTGCTCACGTCACTTAGGTGTGTCGTGTGACAAAGTGTTGCAAGTAACTGGTAATGAGTGTGTGACAGTTGGGGGGTGCAAAAGCCTTTGGTAGCTGGGAAGGAAAGAAGCAAAGAAAGGTAAGGGCAGGGTGGTGGCCTGCTGGACTTGGTGCGTGCTCAGGCCCCAGAGTACTTTGCACCCCCCTTTCACTCTAGTGGCACGAATCAGCCTCTCTCCTGCACCTACAGAGGCGATGTCCCCACCAGCACCCCAAGCTCCACCTTCCTCTCTCTCTGACACTCGCACATGCCTCCCATACTTGGCATACTGTTTTTTGTACACGGTAGGTCCTTAAACAATTGAGGCATTTTGAGGTTTTTTGTTTCTTTGTCATATAACCGTTTTTGAAAAAAATTCCAGGAAATGCTTAGGTGACGTGACAGTGTAGTTCAGTTGGCACGGGCACTATAGTTCGTTCTGGTTCAGATGACGACGACGACAATCCTGTTTAATTCAGCAACCTTCGGTTGGGCATCATCGCCCCCTGTTGACAACTGAGAACCCTGTGGTTTGGGGTGGGAGGGAACTTTCCTCACCTGGTGTGGCTCTTGTCCTGTCCCTTACACATCCTGCTGTGTAATTCTGCTCTACAAGTCTGTTTTCCTAGTTTTCCTGGCCCCCAGAATTGAGAGGAAAATAATAGTGGAGTATTCACAGGCCTGAACCTGCCTTTCTTATAGGCTGACTTCTTGCACTTGAACAGCCCAAGACTTTGGGAGGTTAGGAAATAAATCCTAACAGGATTTCTTTTTTCTTACCATTTATTGCTTAGTGAAGCTTTGCCTCCTGGACACATTTGTACTGAAAATTAAAAACATTAGAGTTTGCAAATATACTTTGAACTGTTTGGTGACAAGAACCAAAGACGGATGATTCTTATTAACTTTGATCTTAAGTAGACTCTGAATTTCATTATTAACCTGTTACACATAATTGATGTGTATCTGAGAATCACAGGGGGAAAAATCCTTCTAGAATTCTTAGGTGAGGGGGAGGGTGGGGGCAGGCAGGAAGGAAGAGCTCTGTCTGGTCTTTCAGAGCAGCCTTCCCGTTGCCCAGCTGTCCTCACAGGGCTGTGTCACCTGCTCCCAGACCATCCAGCCGACCGAAGCCTCCCCTCAGCCCCCACTCCACGCCACTGGCCAGTAGTACCCAGCCCCCAGCGATGTCCCAACTATGGAGCTGCCCCTCCGCCTCGACTGCCCTGCCTCAGGTCAATGGGGACTGCTTGTCCCCTTCACACCAGCCACCACAGGCCAGCGAGGCCCCTCCCAGCCCCTGTAAGAAGAGGAAGAAGACCCACGTGGGAGTGCTCCCAAGGCTGGGCTCAGAGATGCACCTCTCAGGGCACCCTGCGGGTGCAGCTGCCATGCCTGGCAGGAGGAGGAAGAAGAGCAAGAGGCCGCGCCCAGAGGAGGCTGTCCCACGGGAGGGGCCCATGCAGAGGCAGCTTGGGGGCCCTGAGAGCAGGACGAAGGGCCCGGCAGAGCTGCCAGCTAGCAGCCAGGTGGAGGAGGGCAGACGCCCGCAGGTGGCCGGCCACCCCGTGAGCAGCAGGAAGCGGAGGAGGAAGGGAGCAGAGGTGCCCGGCGGGGAAGACGGCCTCCACCAGCACGCAGCTGGGCACAGGTAGGTGGGCACGGCAGCACCTGTGCCCCTGACCCAAGAAACAAAGTGAAAGTGAGCATCCCATCCCCACTTAGGTGAGGTCCAGAAATGCCATATGCTGATCTGGGCCTCTAAAGTGTGCAGGTGCGGCAGAGTGTCCCTGTAGTGAGTGTCAGTGGGTTGTCCTTGGAGTGCCAGTGGCATGGACAACTGTGCCCAGCCCTTGCCGTCACTGTATGTGCAGGGTGGTCCAAGGATGTGAGGTGAGATGTTTCAATAAGGTCCCAGCAGTCTGCACATGCAGTTTGTTGGACTTGCCTAGTTAGGTTAGGAATGTGACCTTGTGACTTTCTCTGATGTGTCACGCCTGGACGTGTGGGTGTGGACAGCAGGCACTCATGACGCTCGCCACTTCTCTAGCCCGAGGGAAGGTCTGCCAATGTGTGGGGAGTGAAGGGTGTCGCTGGGACAGCTGGCATGCCATGTCCGCTGGGTCATGGGGTGGTGTTGTCTAGAGTTAGTAGAGGCATGTGCTCGTGGAACTAGCTGGGGACGTGTGTCTTTGAGCTCTTTCCCTTGCTGTCAGTGTGCTCGGAGAGCTGACCTGCCTCTGACTTCCCACAGCTGCTCTCCTAGGCACAGTGGCGAGCCAGAGACCACGGCAGAACCTCCAAGGAAGAAGAAAAGGAGAAGAAGAAAGCAGGAGTCACAGCAGGCAGGAGGAGAGGAGCGTCCACAGGGCCAGAGGAGTGTCAGGCCCAGCCATGCTGCTGTCCCTGAGTCGAGCAGCCACGCGCCATCCGTGAATGGTCAGCTTCCTGGGGCCTGCACGGGTATGCCCCCCATCACGGACGGAGTGCTGAGGGGGTGGATGGGCCCAGAGCGGGAAGGGCCCAGGTGAAGCTGCGGCCGACGTCTTTCCCTCGGGTGAGACCCTACAGGAAGGGGCATCAGCTTCTGGCTGAAACAACCCCTGGGGGGTGGATGCAGGTGGCTTTAAAGCGTCCTGTGAGTGGGTCTTCTGAGTCCAGGTGGTTCCTGCTGAGCCTACATGCGGGTGTGACTAGCTGAACCCCCAGCCGGCGTGTTCTCTGGGACGCCTGCACTCAGAGGCTGGGCTCAGACGTGAATCATCCTCTCTTCCCCACGTAGCTGGGCCTCTGAAGACAGCGCAGTACTCTTGCTGCCAGGGTCTGTGTGTGGTGCTGTCCCTGGGCCTTCCCACGGTGACTTAAGGCATCCCCCTCCCACCCCCTAGTCAGAGGCTGCTTTCGTTGTACCTCAGCAGGCTCTTGCCACGGAACTGTCTAAGCGAAGGGTGGGGTCCGCTCTGCATCTGGGGATCAGTCCTTAGTGTATTTGGGGCAGCCGGGCCACTGGAGGTCGATTTATATTTGTCAGACTTTTTTTTTTTTTTTTTAAAAAGATGATCGGTAAGGGGATCTCAACCCTTGGCTTGGTGTTGTCAGCACCACGCTCAGCCAGTGAGCGAACCGGCCATCCCTATATGGGATCCGAACCCGTGGCCTTGGTGTTATCAGCACCGCACTCTACCGAGTGAGCCACAGGCTGGCCCTATATTTGTCAGACTTTTAAGAAATGAATTGCTGCATAAAAACGGAGCATCATGAATTACCTTGCGAATTGCTGCTGCTGGCAGTGAGGTCTGTGGCTGTTCAGTGACCTGGGGGTATAGACAAGGCCACACTCAAGTGATGGGAGAGCTGTGCTTGATGCAGTTCTTGGAGCAGGAGAGTCGGATTGCTGTGCACAAATTCAAGCACTTGTGGCCTGGGACCTGCTGCTTGGGCACTCAGGGCTCAGCCCAGTGCCATATGGTGATGGGCCTCGTGCATCAGGCAGGTGCTCGGCTGCTGTGTTCATACAGGAGGGTCCCCAGCCCCACATTTGCACTCAGTCCTGAACACCTCAGAAGAGAGGACTGCATGAGGAAGGGTGCTTCAGGCTCTCAGCATGCTGGTGGCTCTGTGTGACGGGTCCCGGGCTGTGCTGAGCAGCAGGGGGAGAAGAGGCCAGAGAGTAGAGCAGGGGATGCTGTCGTGCTTGGTGCAGGGGCACTGATCCTAGAGGTCCCCAGGAATCAGAGGGCAGAGACAAGGTCAGGTTGTGCTTAGGGAGTGATACGTGCCTGCAGCTGGGCGGTGGGCACATCAGGGGGACCGGGGCAGGAACCGAGGACTGGTTCAGGAACTGCGTCTGGATCCTGAGGAGGGTGGTGAGGGCTGTTGATGTGCGGACGTGCCGGGTGGCCTAGCGCTGTGGTGCTCACCAGTGGCCAGGCTCTCACTGGGCCAGGGCTTGGGGAGCGTGTGGTGGTGGCACTTTCCTGTCCCCCCATTCTGGAACTCAGGTTGCTTTCAAGGCGCTGCTGTCTCTGACATGAGCAGTGGGTCCCATTTAGAGCTGGTTTCGTGCCCTGCCCTCCGTCAGACCAAGGACTGACACTGTGGCTTATAAGGGTTTGTTTGGCTTTTGTTTTCTGCAATTTTCTTGTTTTCTGTCTTTTCTTTTCCAAGAATTGATTTGGACAACAGCCTTTTCTATTGGATAAAATCATCATTAATATGTTAAGCACTTAAGTTAGGCATTAGTAAGTATTTACTATCAGTAAGTTCTACAATTCTGTTATAATAATAGGCATGTGATTTGTTTCCTCAGTGGTTTATTTTATTGAAACATGATTGTACATATCTGTGGGGTGCCGTGTTAAATATCAGTACCTGTGTGCAATATGTGATGCTCAAATCAGGATAATCAGTACATTCGGCATTACACAGTGTGACCACTTTTGCGGCCTATCACCAGTTTCTTGCTAACCCTCCTCCTTTTCCCCTCAGTGGTTTATTTTAAATGTGTGTAAGTGTTTTTTGGCTACTGTTATTGCAGGGCTGGGACGGGCTCCTCTTGAATCCTGGAACAGAGAGCAAGAATCACCAGTTTCTTGCTAACCCTCCTCCTTTTCCCCTCAGTGGTTTATTTTAAATGTGTGTAAGTGTTTCTTGGCTACTGTTATTGCAGGGCTGGGACGGGCTCCTCTTGAATCCTGGAACAGAGAGCAAGAATCCGATGTAGTCCAGGAACTGCTCAAGCATTCATCTGATAAAGCTTATGGGAGGAAAGGTACTGGTTTTGATTGGTTTATTTTGAAGATGGCGAAGGTATGGAAGGGGTCCTGGTGTACTGTGAGTGTGGGGGGCAGGCGTCACTCAGCTTTAAAGATGAGAAGAGGAATCTAAACGTTTGTTTAGGATCCTCTTTAACCCCCCACCTCTAGCCATGGCACGAAGGTGGGTTCTGTCATGGAGGGACCCAGAACATCTTCTCCTACAAGTCCGGGAGCAGGGGAAAGAGCAGAGCGTCTCCTCCGGGCAGGCTGGGCTGGGCAGAGTATTAGGGTCTCTAATAGGGGACGGGGCAGAGTGAGAAAGATCTAGCACCAGCAATGTCGGTTCTTACCTGGAACATTATTTTTGTAAATCAGACTTCGAGAACAAACCTGAGGTCTTTGTTTATCAGACAAGGGCATGAGTTTAAAAAGAACCGAAGTTTGCAGGTTGGTGATACAGAGAGTTTAATTGAGAGTCACTGATGATGTGTCTCTGTTGACCATCATGTACAAATTGGATTACTCTGTCCTCCCCTTTTCTGTCTTTGCATGTCCATTTTCACCAAAAGGTGGCACTCAAAAATTTTGAACGCAGTAGTTCCCCATTACCTGTGGGGATATATTGCGAGAGACCCCCACTGTCTGCCTGAAACCAGGCCAATACCAAACCCTGCATCTACTATGTTTTTTTCTGTACAAACATACCTGTGATAAAGTTTAGTTTATAAACTAGGCACAGTAAGAGATTAACGACAATAACAGTAATAAAATAGAGCAATTATAACAGTATGCCAGTATCGCCACTCTTGCACTTTGGGGACATTGGGGGGGTATGTTTCTATATGTGGTGGTGTGTGTGGAGCGTGTGTATGTGGGGGTGTCTGTGGGGGGCGTGTGTGGTGTCTGCGAGCATGTGTGTACCAGTCACTTGCAGAGGAGGACCATGTAGCGTATTCCAGTTGCATCAAGATGCCACGTGTTGGCTTCTCTGTTAGACTCACACCAAGGGTGACAGTGTGAATGTTAAGGTCTCGTTCCTCACTGTCAGGACCAATGTTCTTTGTCCCACAGCTTCTGGAGACAAGGCGTCCCTTCCTGGGTCTGCGGGATCTGTCCAATCTGAGGGAGCAGCCTCATGTGGCCTCCGCTGCCTGTCATCCCCCAGGCCACTGCACTGTGAACCTGCCACGGTGGGGGCTCTCCTGGCACCAGTGTCCACAGACAACCTGACGTAGAGGCTTTGGGTCTTCCACAGATCAGGAGCTCGCTGTTGACGTTCACAACAAGCCCCACAGGAGCAGCCACAGCATGTACGTGTCAAGCAGAGATGGTAGCACAGCCGTGGGATGTCTGGAATGGGCTGAGTGTCCTCGTCTCATGGATGGTGGTGCCTGTGCAGGCACAGGCATCTGCCCCTGGTCTGGGCTGTCAGAGAGAGTTGGGGGGGGTTGGCGGCCACGCACCTCCCGGTGTCCCCACATTATCAGAACAACAGGTGTGCACAGTTGCTCACCATGGCACGCCTTGCTCCCGGCAGCCAGCACTGCCATCTGCTTAGTGGGGTTGCTGTGTCTGTGTGCCTTGCTGTCCGTCCTCAGACAGAGCCCCCAGGCTGGCCCCACACGGCCACCTCTCCCCTTCCCAACACTCTGGACTGTCTCTGGAGAGCATGAGGCTGTGGGGTGGGACCCTTGCTGTCCCCGCTGACACATCACCTCTGAGGTAACTCTCCTGCAGCTTCCTGCAGTGCGATAACCCACGGGTCTTTATGGAAGTGGTGGTCTCAGGTGGAATTCTCCATTTATTTTACTACTTAATCTAAAATGTTTATTTTTGGCCAGTCCTGTGGCTTCCATTAGCAATATGCTTCCTTACTTAATATGCAAATACTAGCTTTGTTCGCTCAATTTTATGAGTGTTTTTGAATTTAGATGATTGTACAACTCTGGAGATGACTTTTTTATCTTGCTCAAGCTGTGCCTGCAAACTTGTAATTTAATAAATATGGGAAATCCTCCGTTGAGGTGATATTTTCCAGAAAAAAGACAGGTATTGCAGTAGTAGAAAGTATAGAAGCAGACCTGGAGCTTACACCTCATGGTGTGCATCTGCACGTCCTTCCTGTTGGAAGCGCCACCGGTGGAGCTGGACTAGGTGTGGGACATGGGCCGTCCCTTGTCTGTGCAGTGTTCCTCAGGGCTTTGCTCTCTGCCCTGCCCCCCTGTTCGGGCCCAGGTGGATACTGGTTTACAGAAAGAAGAGTGGCCCTTTTTTTTTTATATGGGGAGATTCATTCATTTTTTCATGTGGGTGATTCTTTTTGGTTTTTCTTCTTGTTTTTTTTTTTATTTTGAAACGCTGTGTCCTGAGCTTGTCGGCTGCTTCCAGTCCCAGCAGAAGGTAGACAGAGGTTTGTGAGAGCAGGTCCAGGGAGCTCTGCTCTTTCTTTAGAGGACTGACTTCTGAAAGTTGAAAGATGCATCCCGGCTTCCGTGTCATGTGGCTCTGTGATTTAGCGGCCTGGGCAGGAAGGCAGGCGCCTTGGTGGGCGGCAGGGTTTTCTCTCCCTCCCGAGGTGCTGACATTCATTCCTGTATAAGCCGTTCCCTGCTGTATTTTTTCATGACGTTCTGTGGTTGAAGATTTTAGTCGTCTGCTAGCACAGAATTGATCTCCTTACTTTCTCTTCCTCCTCTCCTCCAAATCAGTCTCTTCCTGTCTCCACTAGACATTGTAAAGCCTTTTCCTGAGGATAATATGTCCGTTATCTCTTGGGTGGTGGTGAGCCTGCGCCCAACTTTCTAAGCACTTATCACTGTTAGTGTCGAGGCCTTTCCTTCCACAAAACACAATCAGCCAGATGAGGAGGGAACAGAGAAAGCCCAGAAAACCAGTCCAAATTCCAGGTGACATGTACATACGTAAATATATATATATAAGAAATCAGAGCTTTTATATAGCAGCCGCTTGGTTGACTTAGAATCCAGGCTCGATTTAACTTTGCACCTGGGCGTGGAGGTGGAGGGGGGGGAGGGG